AGGTTCTTGTGTAGACTCTAGTCCAGCGGCTACCTCAGAGGACGGTTCGCTGTCGTTCACGCTGGACTCTGGAGCCTCTCACTGCTTCTTTCGTGACAGCACGACACTTACACCACTTCCTGCGCCTGTTTCTGTGGCGCTGGCTGATCCCACTTCGGGACCAGTCACCGCGCGTCACACTACCACCTTGCCGTGTCCGGCTGCTCCTTCTGGGTCTCTCACTGGGTTTCACGTCCCCTCGTTCTCCCGGAACTTGGTGGGCGTGCGACCCCTCGTGAGTCAGCACGTGGGTGTGTGGTTTGAGCCTTCTGGAGAGACTGCGGTGTGTGTTGACGGGGACTCTTACCAGCCCCTCGCCACTTTTGCTGCTGAGCCGGGCTCCGGTCTCTACACTCTTCACACTGGCCCGCACGCTCAGCAGCGACTGCAGCAGCAGCAGCAGCCGCAGCAGCAGCAGCAGCAGCAGCGGCAGCAGCCGCAGCCGCAGCCACAGCGGCCGCCGTCGCAGCAGCCACTCCTCCCAGTTCCTGTCCCTCCCCCTAGTCTCCTCCCTGCGTCTCACCAGGTGGTTCCGTCCCCTCAGGTTGTCGCGTCCAGTCCAGTCGCTGCGTCTTGCTCCTGTCGGTCGCTTGCCCACCCCACCGTTCTGTGGCACCACCGGATGGGACACCCTTCTCTTCCACGTCTGCGTGCTATGTCTAGTCAGCGTCTGGTCTTAGGTCTCCCGCGTGTCTTGCCGTCGCTGCCGCCGTCCCTTGCACCACCGTGCGGTCCTTGCGTCGAGGGTAGGCTGCGTGCCACCCCTCACTCCTCCTCCCTTCGTCCGGCCACCGAGCCTTTTGAGACGCTGCACTTGGACGTCTGGGGCCCCTCTCCTCGCCCTGGCCCTGAGCGTGAGCGTTTCTTTTTGGTGGTCGTTGACGACTACTCCCGCTACACCACAGTGTTCCCCCTGGCGAGGAAGTCTGAGGTGACTTCTACGCTGATCAGGTGGTTGCTTACCACCCAGGACACTCGTGGTCGTCGTGTCAGCTGTCTCCACTCCGACCGCGGGGGCGAGTTTCGCTCCGGCATTCTCGCTGGATTCTGTCGCGAACAGGGCATTCGTCAGTCCTGGACGCTTCCGGAGTCCCCACAGCAGAATGGGGTTGCTGAGCGTCGCATAGGCCTGGTCATGGAGATTGCCCGCACCTCCTTGACTCACGCCCGTGCCCCCCATTTCCTGTGGCCATACGCAGTCAGGTACGCCGCGCACCAGCTGAACCTCTGGCCACGCGTCTCTCGGCCGGAGGCTTCACCGACCAGTCTTTGGACAGGGTCCCCTGGTGTCGCGTCGAGGTTTCGTGTCTGGGGGTGCTTGGCTCTTGTCCGCGACACCTCCGCGGACAAGCTCTCGCCTCGCGCCGTTCCTTGTGTCTTCCTTGGTTTCCCTGAGGACTCCTCTGACTTCACCTTTTACCACCCTCCCTCTCACCGGTTCTTTGACTCCCGTGACGTCCGTTTCGAGGAGTCCACCCCGTACTACGTCAGGTACCCCAGTCGAGGTCTCCCGGTTCCTCCTCCCCCCCTCTTCCTGACAGCCGCTCCCCCGCCTGCTCCCCCGGTACAGCCTCCCCCCCCTGGTCCAGCCCCGTCTGGTGTGTCTCAGGCTAGCCCTCCCCCTTCGGTAGCCCCCCCTGTACAGCCTCCCTCCCCACAGTCTTCCTCACCGCCTCCTGTAGGTGCTCCCTCTCGGGAGGTTGGTCCTGCGACTGTCCCTGTACAGGTCTCTGGTTCTGGGGGTGCTGGAGTTGGAGCTGAGCCGCGGGTTGCAGAGGACTCTTCTCTTCCGGGGGCTGGTACTGGTCGTGCGGAGTCTGGGGGTGCTGGTGCGGAGTCTGGGGGTGCTGCGTCTGGGGGTGAGGGTGTTCCTTCGGTTTCTGGAGAGCCTGGGTCTGGAGCTGGTGTTGGTGCTGCCTCTGGGGGTGGTGTGCTTGGTGCTTCGGAGGTCGACTCTGGGGCTGCCGCTGCCCCGGACACTACTCCTTCCCCCCACCCCTACCCGACCAGGTTCCAGGCTCGTGTTCGCCGTGCTCGTGAGGAGCAGCTGGAGTTGGAGAGAGAGGAGAGAGAGTTGCAGCGGCTCGAGGAGCAGGAGCGACAGCAGCAGGAGCAGCAGCCGCTGGAGCAGCAGCAGCCGCAGCAGCCGCAGCAGCAGCAGTTGCCGTCTCCTCCTCCTGTCTCGGGTCTTCGGACCCTTGGTCTCCCCTCTCCCTCTCCTTCCTCCTCCCCCTCTCCTCCCGTCTCTGGTCCTCCGCTTCCTCCTCCTGACCCCTCTCCCGCTGTTTTCCCTCGTTCTCAGTCTTCGTTGTCCCCTCCTCCTTCTCAGACTTGGGCCTCTCGTCGCTCCCCTCGTGCTCGTCCCTCGTCTCCTGTTCCCTTCACTGACCTTCGTACTGCCTTACTTCGTTCTAGTCCACCTCGTCCGTCTCTGTCTGTGCTTCCGTCTCCTCCTGAGTCGGCTCTCACTGCGTCGCTCCCTACTCCTGTCACTGACTACTACCGCACGTACCGTCCTCTTCTCTCTCGTGTTCTCGCCTCGCTTGTTACTCACCCTCGTGCCTCTGTGTCCTCTGTGTCCGCTCTTACTGCCGCAGTCACTGAGTTTGCCTCTACCCGCCGCCTTGACTTCGCCACCGCTCTTGTGGCTGCTCCTCCTTCCAGTCCTCTGGCCGTCGGGGGTGTGTCTGCCCTTGGCTGTGACGCCCTAGAGGACAGGCAGTTTGAGCTAGAGTTCCTGGCGGCCGCTTCCCCTCATCTCTGTGCCATGCTCCTCGCCCCTGAGGGTGACCCCGACGCCCTTGACATTCCGACTCCTCGCACTTACGCTGAGGCAGTGTCAGGGCCTTGGGCCTCTCAGTGGAGAGCTGCCATGGACGCAGAGATGGCCTCCTACAGATCCACAGGCACCTACATCGATGAGGTTCCCCCTCCGGGGGCGAACGTAGTCGACGGCATGTGGATCTACAGGGTGAAGCGGCCACCGGGATCTCCTCCGGTCTTCAAGGCACGCTACGTGGCTAGAGGTTTCAGTCAGCGCGAGGGAGTTGACTTCTTTCAGACCTTCGCGCCCACCCCGAAGATGACCACTCTTCGGGTGTTACTACACGTAGCAGCACAGAGAGACTACGAGTTACACTCTCTCGACTTCTCTACTGCTTTCCTTCAGGGCAGTCTTCACGAGGAGGTCTGGTTGCGTCGTCCCTCTGCCTTCACTGGCTCTTTCCCTCCTGGGACCCAGTGGAGGCTGAGGCGACCGGTTTACGGTCTTCGTCAGGCTCCTCGTGAGTGGCACGACACCCTGCGTTCTACCCTGTCTGACCTTGGGTTCCAGCCGTCTTCTGCTGACCCGTCGCTGTTCGTTCGTCGTGGCCCCACACCTTTCTTTGTTCTGGTCTACGTTGACGACCTTGTTTTCGCCACCCCTGACAGGGTTGCTTTGGCACACGTGAAGTCCGAACTGCAGAAGAGACACACCTGCACTGATCTTGGTGAGCTGCGCCACTACCTTGGCCTGCAGATCACCAGGGACAGAGCTGCTCGCACCATTACACTTTCACAGTCGCACATGGTGCAGCAGGTCCTTCAGCGGTTCGGGCTTCAGCACTCCACAGTACAGCGCACACCTCTTGCTGTTGACCACAGACTCACTGGACCCTTTCCTGACGAGCCGTTCGAGCCTAGTGGTCCCTACGCAGAGCTTGTGGGTTGCCTCATGTACCTGATGACTTGTACTCGCCCGGACCTCGCCTTCCCTCTCAGCGTTCTTGCGCGCTTTGTTGCGCCAGGGAGACACCGTCCTGTTCACTGGACAGCAGCTGTGAGGGTGGCGAAGTACCTAGCGACGACGTCAGGCGTGGGGCTAGTTCTTGGAGGGCAGCAGTCTGTCGTACTTACTGGTCACTGTGACTCCTCTTACGCTGACGACGCTGAGACTCACAGGTCTACTCAGGGGTACTGTTTCAGCCTGGGTTCTGGAGCTGTTTCCTGGCGGTCCACGCGCTCCTCTTCGGTCTCGACCTCTACAGCTGAGGCTGAGATCTACGCTGGTGCCATGGCGGCACAGGAGCTGCGTTGGTTGACCTTCTTGCTCACCGACCTTGGTGAGCGGCCGAGCTCTGCACCGACCTTGTTCACTGACAACAAGGCGTCTATTCTCCTTTGTCGAGAGCCACGACTGGAGAGCAGAGTGAAGCACATTCACGTCAGGTACTTTCTTCTGTGAGAGTTGCAGAGGCGTGGACAGGCTCGCTTTGAGTTTGTGGAGTCCGAGGCCAACACTGCAGACATCTTCACCAAGGCGCTTCCGCCTTGTGACCACCAGAGGTGCTGTGTGCAGTTAGGCCTTGTTGACACTGGTTCTCGTGTTGCTTAGACTTGAGTGTACTGTTTACTTTGCTTTCTATATACCTCTGTTACTTCTTGGACTGGCCTTGTGGCCACTGTTGTTTGTGCTCAGACTGTGTGGTGACGTTGTGATCCACCCTGAGCTTCGTTTCTTGGACTGGTCTTGTGACCGTACTCGTGTGGTTCTGCTAGACACCCCTCACTTAGGCTATGGGGGTGTGTCAAATGTTGTAGCCTATAGTGAGGTTTGTCTTAGGGGGTACAAAACTTAGGGTTAGCTATATGTACCCCAACCAACATCAATGCATCATCCATTCTTCATTCTGACACTTCAACATTCAGGTACTGTAGCATCTTCAGCTCAGTCAAATCGCCAGGAAGAGCCTGCAGCTGGTCACATAACTGCAAACACAGAGTCTTGATCCTGGTCAACTGTGCAAAATTGGGAGGGAGGGAGCTAATGGCAGCGGCTTTGATCGCCAGGCTGTGAAGGCATGCAAGCTGCGTGAGGGAAGCAGGCAGATGCTCCAAGGCCGGGCAACCAAACAAGCTAAGGCTGCGCAGCCGGGTCAACGCACCGATACCGGCTGGAAGAGCAACTAGACTCTCTGCAACTAGAACCTGCAGCTCTGACAGATTCTGAAGCTCAGTGACAGAATCTGGCAGGGACTTCAATTCTGGAAAGCAGTGTATCTGCAGGCAGCGTAACTGCTTCAAGGCCGACCCGATGGTTTCAGGCAGCCTCTCGACCCTCCCAGCCCTTTGAATCTTCAGGGTGCGAAGCTGGGGGAAGGTGGATAAGGGAACGGGCAGTTCTTCTGTTTCTCTTGCGAGAAACAGTTTCAAGTGCTTCAGATGCGTCATGCTGCTGCTGATTGTCACCACGTGCTGCTCTGCATGAGCGAGCTTCAGACCCAACTTCGTCAGCTTTGGCAGCTTCGCAATATCAGGCAGAGGGATGCTGTCCTCGCAGTTCCCAAGGCTTACAGCTTCAAGGGACGGTGGTAGACTCTCAGGTGGCACTTGCAGCTGGTCACACTCTGTAATCTCCAGCCGCTTCAGCTTCCCCAGGCTTAACAGGTTTCTCGGCACCGAATAGAGCTCCTCACAATCCTCCACTGTGAGAGCCTCGAGATTGGTGAGGCGTGTGATGGTCTCAGGAAGCTTCCTGATGTTGGGGCAGAGGCAGAGATGCAGCTCCGTCAGGTTACTCAACTCACACACGTTCTTTGTAAGATCACGGAACATGCACCCGTCCAGCTCCAATCTCCTCAGGGAAATCAGCCGAGTGTACGTAGACGGCAGCTGCTTTCCAGTGTTGTCCTTCAGGAAAAGCGTTTCGAGACTGGTGAGCCTTCCGAGATCGGCTGGGAGCTTCAATCGCGGCGTCTCCACGAGGCACAGCGTCTTGAGAGCTAGCAGGCTGCAAAACCCTTCCGGAAAGCGGCTAATTCTGTGGCATTTGATCAGGAAGAACGTCTCCAGAGATGAGGCTTGGCAGAGGGAGTCGGGGAGGTATTCGAGAGGCAGTTTATGCAGCACGAGAGTGTTCAGCCGGGGCAGACACCCAATATCTTCGGGCAGGCTGAAAAGCTTGTTGCACTTGGCTAATGTCAGACTCTCCAGATGTCTTAGCGAGCAAAAGCCGTCTTGCGGTAGGTGGGTGAAGGATTTGCAGTTGCAAATGCTCAGTTTGCGAAGGCAAGGAAGCGAGTTCCCTATGCCATCAGGAAGGGCCTGCAGCGAATCGTTATCAGAAATTAGCAGCTCTTGGAGGTGTGTGCAAGGCGAGGCGGGAGGAAACAGGAGGTGGAATTTAGGGCAGGAGGCGTTGACTGTGAGGGACTTGAGGCACGGAAGCTGCGAGATGGAAAAGGCTGAAGATGGCTGATCGTTTTGAAATTCGAGGGTTGTGCAGGTTATGGAAAGGTACGTAAGTTTCGAGAGGTGAACGAGGTTTGAAAGATGATGATCCGTCAGTACCGGAGAAAGGATGTAGAGGGTAGTGAGAGACGAAAGATTGGTGTGATTGGGAGATTCGAGCGCTGAAGTGTCTTGTAGTAGGAGCGTGTGCAGGCTAGCTAGATGAAAGAAAGAAGCGGGTAGTTGAGCGTTCTTGTGGAGGCATAAAAGCGACAGATGTTCAAGGCGAGTGCACTGCGAGAAGAAATGGTCCAAGCCTGCTTCGGTGATCGGGTACTCGTCTTTCGGCCCGCCGTTGTTCGTCGGTGTGATTCCGCTTCCCACGTGCAGCGCCGTCAGCTTGGGGCATGCAGTGGCGAGGTGAGCGAGGAAGGCGTCGTCTAGGGTTTCCACGCTGCCGTCGCAAAATGAAGGGACGTCAAGTTGGGGAGACTAGCGATGACATATGCGAGATCTTGACGGGAAACGTTCACATTTTCGCTGACAAGAAGCGTGGAGGTGTGGTGCTGAGTGAGACGCCGCCAACGGCGGCATACGGACCCGATGACGAATGTTCGAGCGACGTCTATGCATGGCGGCGGAATAGGTAGAGCGGGTTTAATTTCGTGATCGGAAAAAAAAATCTTCTAAGTTGTCATCGGAAAGGTACTTAAGCTTCGGCTTAAAATGCTCCCATAAAGAGTCACTATCATATCTGCGAGAAAACGGTTCCCTAACGGAATAAGTCATAATGGCAACGAGAATGTCGTCAGACAGCTGGTTAATGCTCGTTGGCTTAACCGTTTCTGAGCTACTGACAGCCGCTGAGTCCGCCATGGCGAGGTTGACGAGTTAGAAACTGATGCGAGATTGGTGAAAGCACTATGGGCGAAAGCACACAATATGACTGCTGAAGCAAAGTAGCTGCTGCTTTGGCGGGTGTGAGCAGGTACGGTTCTCGACCTTGTGGTCCTGATTTGGCTCGACAAATTTTAGACTCGCTACTGAGAACGCGAGTCTTGTTGAAAGGTTGTGCTCCAAAACAGGTAAACTATCCGTCAGATACAACTATAGAGTCCAGAACATCTTCATACAAAATATGCATATTTTGCTAGCTGTCAAGTGTACAACTCTACCACCTGCAGTCGAAGAAGTGGAATTGATGTCGTTGGTTACTAACAGTAAAAACTCCAGTCCCAAACTTGTACCATACATGTTGCGTTTCTTTAAATTTCTCAACTTCCACTATTAATGACATACATGGCGCTTTGTGGCCAAGATCCTTCATCTCCGTCACTTCAAAGCCACCATGTACAACACCTTGAAGAGCTGAAGAGGCAACGGACTGCCACCCCTGAAGGCCCTCCAGTCCAGGTAAAGCCCAAGACTGCCATACCCGCCTCGAGGCCTGCCTGCCATGCCCCCGACTGACCATGATTCCACCTCCACGTGAGCATTGGGAGCACCCGGTGGCCTGGCCTTCAAGAAATTGAGGTGGTGAGACAAAAGCTGGGACCTTTGTGGTGGCAGTGGTGGTTGTCGAGGTGGAGATGGGATAGGGAGAGGGGAGCGAGGTAGGACGCAGCTGGCGGACTCGAATGTTGTTTCTTGGGGTGACGGAAGCAATGAGCGGACCTGGAGAGGGAGAGAGGGGTGAGGGAAGAGAGGAGGTATGGAGAATCAATAACATTGGCTGGGGAGGGGGCAAAGATGAAATGGAGAAGATGCACTTTCATGTTGTCTTGTGGGGTGAGAGGAATCAAGGATCAGGGGGAATTAGTAACAGAGAGTCACAGAGAAAGTAAAATAACCACACAAGTTTAACCTATACTTTGCAAAGATAGCTGAAATGAGGAGTTGGGAACAATAAGTCGATTCACGAAGAGAAGCATGACGAGGCATGTTGAAAATGACGAGGCATGTTGAAAATGATGAGGCATGTTAAAAATGACGAGGCATGTTGAAAATGACGAGGCATGTTGAAAATGACGAGGCATGATGAAAATGATGAGGCATGTTGAAAATGACGAGGCATGTTGAAAATGATGAGGCATGTTGAAAATGATGAGGCGTGATGGTTTTGGACGCATAGGAGCATAAGTTTGACGCTACTATGGCTGACGTTTGTAAAGGACAGAGGAGAATAGAGTTTTTGAGGAGCCTCAAATAAATGAGTTTGAGACGAGTTTCGAGGGCACTCAAACTTCTCTCAGATTACCAAAGAGTTGCCTCATTCACATACGACTGAAAAGTTCTACCTCGCCTTTCGCCTCAGGCAATTCATTTCTTCTCCTCCCCTGCTCGTCCTTCTTTTGATCCCAACATGCCCTCGCTCTCCCTTGTTCGCTCCCCCTCGCTCTCCCCTGCTATGTGCATCACTTATTGCCACCGCTTCCCTCCATTCACAATGGCCCCTCTAATTATACCAGTCTGCAGCAACTTGCTTCCTACTCTGACAAACCGCTTCCTTTGCCAAGCAACCTCCCCTCCCCACTCCCAATCTCTTCTGCTCCCTCCACCAGCAGCAGCACATCTGCTGTGGCTTCAATTCAAAACGCCAGTCTGCTTTGACATTATTCTACCCTTTCACTCCAACACCCCCTCACTCATTCCCTGTGCATACCTTATGCTGCCCCCCCCCCTCGCCCACTCAACCATCTCTTCCGCTCCATCCACCACCAGCAGCACATCCGCTGTGGCCTCAACTGCAAACGCAACTCAGCTGCATATTGCCTCCTTCGCTGTCTCTCCCAACTCTATCTCTTACCTCTCCACTTTCCATCCCTTTGGCTCCCTCCCAGCAGCAGCACATTGGCTGTGGCTTCAACTCAAAACGCCAGTCTGCTGTGTTTGCAGGGCAGGGCTTCTAGGCCCAACTGGGGCAGGCTAGCCTGAAAAACGAAAGTGCGAGAGAGTTGGATAAAAGGGGCAGCAAATGAGGGAGCGAGTTGAAACTTCAGTGAAACTTCAGGGCGAGGTTGGGCAGACTGGGTGCTCGTGCTATTGGCTTGAGGAAGTAGGGAGAGAGAGAGAGAGAAAACGGAGGCAGGCAGGGCAAGGATTCTAGGTCCAACTGGGGCAGGCCAGCCTGAAGAGCGAAAGTGGGAGAGAGGTGGAGAAAAGGGGCAGCAAATGAGGGAGCGAGTTGCATGCAGGGGGAGGTTGGTAGGCAGGCTGCTCGTGCTACAGGCTGAAGAAAGTAGGAAGAGAGAGAGAGAGAGAAAACGGAGGCAGGCAGGGCTATGGTAACAAGTACCAGTTTTGCTGTCTACAGCACGGACATGGGAGAGAGGCAGGGAAAGGAGAAGCTAAGCCAGGCCGTGTGTTTTCTGGATAATTCTAAAAAAACACAGAGAGGGAGGGAAAGGAGAATGTAAACCACGCCTATTGCCGGTGCCTGCCTTTAAGGAATGAACCTGAGAGAGGAGGGATAAGAGACTTGGAGGGTGCAAGAGGCCACTTCAATCCTCCACTCCACTCCACTCCACCCCACTCCACTTTACTCCACTCCACTCCAACCCATTCCGTAAGGGCAACCCTCAAAGAGGTGCGTGAAGGCCCAGTCCAGTAGGGAGGCATTCAAGATCCTTTAACAATTAGTGCCGGGCAGCTTTTGAGGCGCCTCAAAAGTCCACTCCAATGGGGCATGCCTCATGTCACCAGCTCCAACGAGGTGCTTAAAGGTCTTAGTAGGGAGGCATTTGATTTTTGAGTTGACTCAAAAATTAACTCCAACCCACTCCATAGGGGTCCAAGCCTCATGTCAGCGGCCTTGAGAGATGCTTGAAGACCCAGTAGGGATTCGAGATGCCAGTAGGCATCTCTTCAAGCATTCGAGATGCCAGTAGGCATCTCTTCAAGCATTCGAGATGCATTCGAAGGCATTCGAGCTTCCTTGAACAAGCAGTGCCAGGCAGGCCTTGGGCACTCACCCGCACACCCCGCTCCACTCACTCCACTCACCTAACCCACTCCACTTACTCCACACACCCCACTCACCCACTCACCCACTCACTCACCCACTCACCCCACTCACCCCACTCACCCCACTTACCCCACTCATCCCACTTACCCCACTTACCCCACTCATCCCACTCACTCCAGTCACCCCACTCACCCCACTCACCCCACTCACCCCACTCACCCCACACACCCCACTCACCCACTCATCCCACTCACCCACTCACACCACTCACCCCACTCACTCCACTCACCCACTCACCCCACTCAGCCCACTCACCCCACTCATCCACTCACCCCACACACGCACTCATCCCACTCACCCCACTCACCCCACTCACCACTCATCCCACTCACTCCGCTCACCCCACTCACCTGCGCCCCTC